TTTGAAAGATAGTTTTGCAGGGTACATCAGTCTGGGTTGGAGGCTGTTTTCCTTTAGGGCTTGAAATACATCACTCCAAGCTCTTCTTGGCTTGAGGGTTTGCAATGACAGAGTTCTGTTCTGATAAGCTCACCATTCCTTTATCTGAAGACTCTGGAAGCTAGAACCTGGGTTAGATCTCCCTTCCCTCCCAACCAAGTATTCATGCAGCTCTATGGATCTGGGAGTTTGTGAAGCTCCTGTCCCTTAGGTTCAGAGATTTATGGAACAAAATTGTTGGATGAGAATTTAGAAACAATCCCTACCAACATCCTCATATAAATTTTTTAAATTTACTTTTCATTTTACATATGAAGAAATTGAGAAGTGAAGTAAATCAGTGAAGAGGTTTTCAACCCTGGCTGAACAGTTTGAATTACCAGGAGAAATTTAAATATAATGATTGTTACATGTACCCTAGATTCCAAAGGAATTCATTGAAAAGTCTCACTACTTCATAAATGACAGAGGTAAAGGAAGGAACTTCACATTTTCCACTAATCTGTTATATACTACCTGGACTGTATCTACTACACCACTTCTCTGCTTTTGATAATTCACTCTCTCTCCTGAGTGGCCACTGATTGTTGCCTCTTTAATGCAGAACTGGGCTTTTTTTCAGTTGACATTGTGAATATCATCACACTTTCCTTCTCCATGAAGAAACATGTTCTATTTTTTTCCAGAGTTACTTTTTCTTCTTTCCCCAAGACTGGTGATTGAACCCAGGGCAGCAGGCATGCTAGGAAAATAATCTACTACTGAACTACAACCTCAGATTTCTTTGTTTATTTCTCAATCCTTATTTTATTTTGAGAAAAGGTCTCACTAAATTTCCCAAGCTCACCTCAAACATGTGACCTAAACTGCTTTAGATTCCTAAGTAGCTAGGATTACAGACAGGTGCCACTGTGCCCTCCTGATGGTTGTCTTTTGGTTGTGCACCATGTCTGACATCTTTAGTATTATAGCTCTTCTGTTGTTGGTCAGTCTATCTCTCATGACTCCCTAGCCTTCTAAGGCAAGATTAATTTACTTAACATGTATTTACTTATTTTGTACTAGGGATTGAACTAAGGGTCTTGCACTTGTGAGCCAGGTGTGCTGCCACTGAGCTAAATCCCCACAAACATGTATTTATTGGAGAGTTACTGTGGACATGGTACAGTATCAGGAGATACAAATGTGACATCATCTCTGTTCTTGAAAACACACAGTATAAAAAGGAGACCAAGAAGAAAGAATCCCATTAAGTATGAGAAGTGATATAACATAGCTATGTGTAAGATGTTGTGAAGTCACAGCTAAAGGAGTAGGCAAGATTTACAGTATGTGTTAGGTACTATTGATGGCAGAGAAAAAAATGGTTTCTTGATCTCCTTTTATAATTGAAATATTGATAACCTACATATAGGAAAATCCATAATATCTAAATCCCTATCAAAAGTCTATATTCTCTGAATGTGTCTAGAAATATACACCAAAGAGGTAATAGGACAGGTGTAGTGGATGCTGTGGCACATGTCATGATATCTTTACTTTCATGACTGATGCTCAGTCCTTTTAACTATCACAGTACCAGTAAGGAATTTTCAGGCTAGACCTTCTGCAAACAGCCCTCAGGAAAAAATGACCATTCTGCCTAAGGGAAAGCCTCCTCCCAAGGGCAGTCCACATGTACTGAATGGTCAGTGAGGGGCCATAGAGGTGTGATCCCTTTATCTTAATTCCGAATAATTCATACGGGTCATTCTACCTCTAGTGGTTGCTAGAATTCCTGTGGAACTGGAAAAAGTCTCTGTTAGAACTGTATCAAAATTTCATTTTTCCTACCTAATCATGCTTTCTTCACTCCTAGCTATTGCTCCCAAGACTGCTCCCCAGTAAACTTCCTGAATGCAAAGCTTTACCTTAATGTCTTTTCATAGACAATATGATCTATGACACAGAATATATATGTAAGTGTACAAGAGTTTATTGAAGAATGTGTACATGTAAAATGTTGTAACTATTATAAATGTCTGATAGGATATTTGTTTGATGGATAATGACACATCCAAATTATAAAATATTGTAGAGCAATTCATAATAATGTAGATATTTGTTAACTAGGAATGAATGTGTCTCAGTTACTTTTCTTGTTGCTGAGACAAAATACATGATACCCACAAGTTAAAGGAGGAAAGTTTTATTCAGCTCACAGTTTGTAGAGATTTCAGTACATAGTTGACTGGTTCCAAAGCAGGGTGGCTTGACAGAAAGGCATCACAGAGGA